GCCCATTACCGGTTAGTGATGTCACCAGTAACAGATACCTCGCCATGATCTCATGGGCCTGAACAATTCACAACCACACTGCTAACACGGAGCTTTTTCACGGAATGGCAACTCTGTTCGTGTCTACGTATCAAGCTGAGATCAGAGGACCCCAAGCTCCAGAGGAGGACAAGATGGGCACACAGGAAGCTGGGTGGACAACATCCTTCAGATTCTGGGCAGGGAAGAACGCCACCCACACATGTTCAGGCTCATCACCCCAACCTGTGAGTGCCTCCTTCCATGGCAGGAGGACCACAGCAGGTGCCGCTCCATTCCATGTCTGGAGGGAGGGTGGTGATCGCAGGTCATCTGGGTGGGGCCCGCGCGGTCATCAGTCACCTCTTGGGAGGAGCGCTATGGTCACAGATGGAGATGAGTGGACAGAAGCAGGAGCAGGTCACAGGTTGTGGAGGGAGATGTGGAGATATATCTAGTCTGACGCCCTTGGGGATGTGCGTGGGGCCGCAGAGGAGGGCGGGGTGTCCCTAAAGCTAAAACGGCCAGAGGAAGAGTCTTTCTTGGCTCTTCCAGAGGGAGCCAGCCCTTCTAACCTCACGGCCTCAGCCCAGACAGAGTGGGTCTCGACTTTCGACCTTTGGAAAAAATTCAGTTTTTTAAAGACACTAAGGTGGTAATCTGTTACAGGAACGGGAACAGCATCCGCCTATCCGAGGGAAGGACTGCACACATACTCCCTCCCTGCACACACCGCAACCCACAGCTCTCACCACCCTTCCTGCTCACTGAGTGCTCGTCGCCCCTGCAGCTGTGACTATGACAGCAGAACTCGCACACTGTCCCTCCTTCTCCATGATGTCAGGGACAGATCTGTTCTTACGGGAGACCCTGACATCAGACTCGTTTCGTGCTTAAGTGCAGATCTCTCACTCGTTCAGTAGAGCAGGCACAGCTCCCTCTGACCACTCAAGCTGGAGGTGTCGCGGCTTCGGTGGGGCTGTTAGCCAGCAGAATGCAGGTGACCCGGGCAGGAGCACCGCCCCACGGAGCCAGGCAGCCTGGCAATCGCAGCCTCCACTAAGCCAGGACAGGCAGGCAGTGCGGGCCACACAGCACAGGGGACAGTTCCGGTCCTGGCTGATGGAGCAGTCAGAGTCACAGGGCACCACGCCCCTTGGGACCCAGAGCAACTTAACACTTTGAAAGTACGCCTGGAATTTTCCATTTAAAATTTCAGAGCACCGCTGACCGCGAGAGAATCGGAGGGGTGAAGGGTCTGAAGGGCTCATACAGACGAGGAGCTCCGGCTTAGCGTCTCCAGGACGCCCGTGGCTGTGCTCTACGGGGTGCAGTGGGTGTGCGGAGGTGGGGGCGTCTTGGTCACAACCTCACAACCAGAGGGGCCGTACGGGTCTCCGCTGCCCCCGCAGACACTGAGACCTTCAGGGGGCTGTGCTCAGCCACAGGCGAGGAGCCCGGACACTGTCCCGCGGGGACTGCCCTCCTCACAGGCACAGCCCTGATCCCCGGGAGGCTTTGCTGCACTCAGGGCTGACAGTGGCTGAGCACAGGATAGGAGAGCTCTTCAGGTTAGATCCATTAAAAAAGAAAATCAACGCAACTCTACATCACACTGTCCATTTCATACAGCACTCGCCAACTTGTGTGCTTACACTGTGATGCCCTTCTTCGTGACAGCTCCGTGCCAGGAGCAGGAGGCAAGGTGGGCTTTGCTGCCTCAAACTGGCCACGAGGACTTAAGACCTCAGCAGACGGTCTGCTCCAGCCCTGTCCCGTCTGTGGTCACAAACCTCCCACGTGTGCTCTGGGGCGAAGGGCAGGGCAGTGCCTGGGAAGCCATTATGTGCACACAGGCCGTCCGGGACTAAAACCCTGCCCCCCACACCCATGAGAATAAACCAAAGGAAGGGTCCCTCGGAGCTCCAGTCCTCCCCTGACCCAGCAAGGTCAAAGGTCAGGACCCTTCGCTTTCTGCTGAAAAGCCTCATGGTGACGCTCGGTCACGTTCACTTGAGCAGCAGTTTGGTTGCTGAGGCCGAACGGGCAGTGGACCAAGAACTCAGCGATGACAAATGGCAGTGCGGCCGGAGTCGGCTCAGGTCAGTACCTCTGCTCGCTCCTGCCCTGGCACAGATGCCAGCCCTGCATGTGCTAAACACACGCGCTTTCCTCCAATGCCCGCGCCTTCCGACCCGCCTGCCTGGCTGTGGGCCCTCTGCAGCCCGGGTACCAGTGAGTCACCATAGTGCCTCACACGTGCCCACAAGGCTCTTCCCACAGACAGCAGCTCCTTCCAGCCGCGAACTCCACAAACCCCGGGGTCCTGCCGCAGGGCAGAAAAGGCCCACGGTGCCTGCAGAGGTGGAGGAAGGAGGCGTGGTTGGGAGGAGCCACATGGGCACAAGAGTGACCACGGGACCCAAAAGACAGGCAGCTCCGCGAAGGCCAGTGAAGCCACGGACAGTCAGTGAGCACAGCCACCTCGCCAGCTGGGCCTGTGCCAGGCCACACAATGACCCAGGAAGGCTTTGAGCTGGCATCAAACCACACTCACAACCACGCGGAGCCCCCCACACTCTGTACAGCCTCTGCTCCCCTCACACGGAGCCCACTCCCTGTCAGTCTCACACCGTGTTTTGGGCAAGTCCCCACCTGCCACCCCGTGACCGGTGGAGAGTGTGGAATGGCACGGAGTGTGCTGAAAAGCACCAGCCTGCCTCACCAGCCTCCCCACCCACAGCATGGAGCCAGGGTCACCCCAGGGAATGGGGGAGAAGCAGCCCTCCCTCTGCAGGGGCTGGTGGGGACACAGTGAGAGCCTCCAACTGTGTCTGTGTTGGCAAAGTAACCCAGAGGGAAGGAAGGGCAAAGAAAAGGAGAACAAAAGACCCGACCACAATACCTGTGAGCCCCTGGATTCAACCTGCCTGAAGCCCACCTGTCTTCAAACTCAGTAATTATACCAACCAGCAATTCCCTTTCTGCCGACCATTCTGGGAGGGCTTTTGCTGCTGAGCACAAATGGAAATTCTACAACTTCCATGCAGAAAGATCACCTGACACCCTGGGGAAGCCCTTGTCAGATCCAACACCTCACTGGAGACCGGGCCTGCAGTGTGGCCTCACCAGAGAATGTCAGCTTGGGAGTCCAGCCCCAGCCTGACACCATGGGAGCCTGGCCAGGTCACCAAAGCTCATGGCCCCACTCCCATCTGGGAAGCAGGGTAACAACTGTCTCTATCATACAGGGCCCATGAAGACAGGGCTTACATCGAGTGCCTTATAATAGTGAAATGCTCAGATGCCAGCTGTTCATGCTCTTGGTGTCAGCATCACCATCACCACCACCACCACCATCACCATCACCATCACCATCATCACCACCATCATCACCACCATCACCACCATCATCACCACCATCACCATCACCATCACCACCATCATCACCATCATCACCATCACCATCACCACCACCACCACCATCACTGTCATCACCACCACCACCATCACTGTCATCACCATCACCACCAGCATCACCACCATCACCATCACCACCACCATCTCCACCACCATCACCATCACCACCATCACCATCACCACCATCACCATCACCACCATCTCCACCATCACCACCACCATCACCATCACCACCATCACCATCACCACCATCACCACCATCACCACAGTCATCATCATCATCATCGTTATTACCACTAGTTTGGTCACACTGCCCAAGCTGGGTCTTTGCTTCTGAAACCTGGACCACCCTGCTGCCTCTTTCTCCTGCCACCTGACCTCCTCCATCATAGAAATCAACACCCATCCACCTTCCGGCACCGATGCTTTTGCGACATGAAGCCCCTCTCCCCAGACACCATGGGACGCAGTGGTGTCAAACCCATGACACACGTGCTGTGTTTTTCTTTTAGGGCAAAAGATGCTCCCGTATGAGTTGTTCTTTCCAGACTAAATCCTTAATATTCAGGTTTAACTGCAGTGCTGGCACCTTGCGATAAACAAGTGGGTTTTGGGCTGCAGTCTGGGCACTCCTCTCTAAGAGGTTCGCCATCACTGATCTAGGGAAGTAGCTGTGGGCGAGCGGTGACAGGCTGTGGCCCTGGACGCCAGGGCTGGGGGCCCGAGCCTTGCAGTGCAGGTGCACAGCTCCGCTCTGTGGACGTCCGTCTCCCGCCCCAAGGCAGGGCTCGAAAGCTGAGCCCAACTCCTAGTGGAAAGGCAGCCTTGAGTGTCATTAAAATGACGAGTAAAGCAAATGTTCAAAACCACAGTAGCGACTTCCTGGGGATGAATTTTTTTTTTAGTCCACGTGTGGGGTAAAGAAAAGGCAGCAGGAGCCTCAGTGCGGCCCTCTCACCCCGCGGAGACAGGGCTCACCTGATTCACAAATCACGGTGCCCCCTCTGACACTGCCGGCTGGGAGGATGCTGCGCCCTGGGGGTCCCACTCAGTCCCCACAGAGGGAGGCCCTCCTCCCCTGAGTCTGTGCGGAAACCCCCGCACGCCCTACAGGCCCCCCATATGGCTGTGAGCGTGCTGGCATCCTGCTGCCAGCCAGGCTGCAGCTCTGGCCAGCCTCTCCTCGGCCCCCAGCCTCCCGCCTCCTCAGTGCCCACCGCCACACGGCCATCACATGTCAGCCTCTGTGTCTCCTCGTTCTCGGTGCCAGGGCCACAAAGCTGGATATGCGAACACAGACACAAACAGGTGGACCCGTGAGGGAAACATCGGCTAAGTGCCCCCGCCAGGCTCTGCCTCTTCTGCTTCCGGGCACCGCGGCCCTCTGATCACAGGGCTGCAGGCACTGTGCACCCACCATCACCCTGGGCACCGGTCTCGGCTCCTCCTCCCTGCGCCTATAATGCTGGCTGTCCCGGCACCCGTGCATCCCAGGCATGCCACCCACAACCAGCCACACAGCCCACCCGCCTCCTTCCCTGCTCCTTCAGCCCCGCTCTTACCTTCGAAGCTCCCAGCGAACAGGTAAACCCAGGTGAGGGCCGGGATGCACAGCAGGGTGAGTGAGGCCGCCAGGAATTTCCGCCTTCCCCTGCAGACGCCCAGCATCCTCCCGGAAGTGCTCTGCTAGTCCCGGGCTGGCGTCTCTGTCCGGGGCGTGGTGTCCTCAGCCTCCCTCATAATACTTTCTGAAAGGAAGAGCAAAGGACAGGGCTGAGTCCTCGGCACTGGACGTGGGTGCCCCCTGCAGAGAGAACTGTCCCAACGTCTCCTGGTCGGCAAGGCAGTGCTCAGACCCTGACTTTCTGCCTCACTGTCATCACGAGACATGGGAGGTGACACCGTAGGCTTGTAGCCCGTGAGAACTATTTACAGAGATGAGCGAGGGGCGTTCAGGGGACATGGAGACACACACACACACACACACACACACACACACACACACACACACGAGCTCCAGGAGGTGCATGGAGTCAGCACCTACTGCCTACCAACCACGAGCCAGGTGCATGCTTTCAAAGCCCAGACCACAGGGTGACTTCGAGGAGTGCAGTGGGGGGGGAACCAAGCCACATGGAGCGTCCCTGGCCCCCCAGGGTGTGACAGCCAAGATCTGCGTGGGGCTGACGAAGGTGGCTGCCAAGCCCTGGTGGTGAGGAGGGCAGACAGGTCCTGTGTCACGCAGCGGCCGGAAGGCCCTGTGGCAGGGTGAGGGCGCATACCAGGGAAGGGGGCTGCCGGGCCACAGGTGCACCTGCGTGAGTGGGACCTCAGCCACTGGGAGCATTGAGAACGGATTCCACAGGGCTGTGGGAGGGGCTTGCTCCTAACCGCAGCACTGGAGGTCACCCCGAGATGCTGGGGCACAGGACACGCTGCAGAGACGGACAGAGCGAGCAGGTGACCCATACCCAGCTGGAGAGGCTCTCCTTAGACCAGGACAGTGGACGGCCGTGAAGGGGTGGAAGAGAGACCAGCACAGGTCGGATGGCGCGGACGGGTCTGACCCAGAGGGCTCCCTGCCGCCCGGCCCCTCACACGGGTGTCGCCCGGTTTTGGGGGTCAGGCACAGCCATGTGGAGCCTCCTGCGGGCACAGCCACTGGGGACGGACGGCTCCCTGAGGCGGCAGAGGCCTGGGAGTGGCTGTCTGGGCACCCCAACCACTTGCCCACTGTGCGTCCTTCCTCCACTGTCACGGCCTCCCCTCCCGGACGTCATGTGTCCCGCACTCCCAGGGACACGGCTCCCCGCTGCCTCCGCGGTGTCTGACCACTGCTGAACGAGTCAGCAGGATCCAGTGCTGCAGGAGGCCGGACCGCCCACTCTGGAAGTTGCTGCTCAGCGGCTGCTGGCAGAAACGCCAGTGGACCGACCACGGCCCAGACCACGGCCCAGACCACGGCCCAGACCACGGCCCAGCAGGCCTCGGCCCAGCAGGCAGATTTGCGGAACGCCCTTCCCAGGAGCCCCAGCGGGCTGGAGGTACAGACTAGGAATCCCTTAGGGCACCAGGGCTGCTGAGGACCAGCTCCCCTGGGACGTTTGTATTCCAACGCCACAGGCCAGCCCTGCTAGTGAGACTGAGAGGAGGACCGTGTGCATGAGGGCTGGGCAGGTGGACCAGAGTTCAAGTCCAGCAGCTGCACCCTCTGTCCCTAAGTGGCCTTCGCTTGACCAGCTCTGCCAGGGGTGTGCGGGAGATGGGAACTGAATTCGACCGTGTTGATATCTAGGTAGTGCGTTAGAGAAGCAGCTCTTTAAAACCCTCCCCTCCATCAGCGGAGGTAAATTCCCATAGGAACACTGCCCAGTCCCGAGCAGGGCCTGCACAACCCTGCATCTGAAGCTAAACCCAAAGGCTGAAAACTGCTCGCGAGTTTGGCTTCTCTGTGACACTTCTGTGTGCCAAAATCACACTTCAGAGGAAGATCACCATCAGGACTCAGGCCAGGAAGCCAGCACAGGCACCCACACCGGAGGAGGGCAGGAGAGAGCTGGAACTCACAGCGAGCGTGAACAGCTGTGGGCACCCTGGCCAGCTCTGCTGCTGTGAAACAACAGTGCCCACCAGTGACCAGAGGCCCCAGGGGCTCCTAATGCATACACCCTCATGCCAATGCCACGTCCTCCTCTGCCAGGGCGGCCAGTGCCTCCTGAACATCTCTGCACTGATGGATGGGACTCCCGCTGAGGAGGAACACTGTAGAAGCCAGAAAAATCGTCACATGCTGCTAAGCCACAACAGCAAGAGTCAAAGCTCCATGTAAGCCAAGCGTGATGATACACATCCTGTGTCCCCAGCACACAGGAGGCTGAGGCAGGAGGACTGCTGTGAATTCAAGGCCAGCCTGGAACAGTGATACCCCATCTCAGAAAACTAAAACAAAAAACAAAACCCTCAATGCGTAGTTTAATTGCAGGTACCCTTCTGTCCAAAGTACTAAACTTTGTATAGATCAGCAAATACCCACATATCATTGTCTGTCTGTCTCTCTATATACATATAAATACCGATATTGATATCAGGTAAGCTCAAAATACATGGTGAATGTTTACACCTTAAAAATTAGCACAGTAAAAGATACACTGTTGTCAATCCCCTGAAAATCCTACCTCCTCTTCAAACACACTGACCCCATTCTACTCGCTACTTTCTGCAGCAGCTCTGGAGTCTTCTTTCCTGGGTGTCGTTATGAGAGGAGATCAGAAGTACAGTGACTGCTGCTGCTGAGTGCCAGTCAGCGGAAGGGCGCCGCACAGAAGCACCACGCTGACTCCTCATCACCTCGGCCCCCGGACCTGGCACCGCGTGATCTCCAGCTCCTCCCCACAGTCAAGATGACCATGAAACGGAAGCGGATGAATCCATTCAGGACACCCAGACAGCCAGGACAGTGCAAGTGAAGACCCTCAGGAAAGAGGACTCCGGAGCTGCTGTGGGAAGTGGCAGGGTGATGGATGTGTGCACAGTGGGGGGAGGAGTGTGCAGAGGAGTCAACAGCCACGTGTCTTTCACTGTAAAACATTTTTTCAACTTCAGCGTTCACCGTATGTTTCAATCACATCTCGTCATACATACACGTACACACAGCTATGCAGAAAGGCTTGCGGGTTGAAAGTTATCACTGGGTGTAGGATAGGGATACTTTCATGTCATACAAATGTGTACTCTACCACCCTTTACATAAGAAGCACACACTGCTTTTATAATTTAAAGACCACTGAAGAGTTTAATTCATTATGTCTCTGTGGGTTATTTGCAATTCAAAACACCTCCTCCCCGACCAGGCGGTGCCCAGGCCGAGCCGTGCTCTCCGTGGCATCCTCACTGGGAATCCCGCAGGCCACTGCCACTGAGGGGCTCTCGTCAGCCCCCGGGTTACAGCGGACTTTCCACAGGGCTCAGGCAGGAGGCGTCGCTGGGAACTGCGTGTCAAGATCTCTGGGATGGAAAACAAAGTCTAGGAAACGACACAGCCCCGTCCTCAGATCACTCAGTGTTCTAACTGATGCCAGGGGCACCCAGGGCTTTCACACTGAGCTGCATCACGGTGTCCCTTCCCGTCACGTGGTTCCCTGGGTCCCAAGGGGAACCCCAATTCTCTGGCTGCAGGGTAGCAAGTCCTTTTGGCCCCAGAACCTGCATGCCACGGATCGAGGGTAGCAGCCCGCCTGGGCCGCCGTCACGGCCTGGTCCACCGTCTTCTCCCAGCTCTGCAGTGAGAACTGCTCCTTGTCGCCTGGGAGCGCCACCCATCTCCTGGTCACCGGGAAAGCAAACTCCAGGGCCAGGTGGGAGCCTCTCTCAGCTCGTGGCATTTACAGAGCCCTGCAGTGAGGGGACTCAGCCTGGAGCAGCTGCACACGCTCTGGCCACAGAAGCCACCCAACTTACATCAGGAGGGAACCGCATGAGGTGCCGGGCGGCATCCAGCCAAGTTCCAGGGACAGGACACATGCGACTGGCTTCCTGCCGTGACGTCCACACACCAGGTGGAAGCAGGGAGCAAGGCAAGCGGACGCAGTTGGCCGCCCTCAGGGTCACGTGACTTCATAAAAGGAGACCTACTGAAGAGAACATGTAGGCACCCATGGCACACTCTTGTCATCCCAGCTACTCAGGAGGCTGAGGCAGGAGGATCACAAGTTGGAGTTAGCCTAAGTAACTTAGTAAGACCCTGTCTCAACATTTAAAAGTTAAAATTAAAAGGACTGAGAACGTAGCTTAGTGCAGTGCCTGGGTTTAATTCCCAGTGCCCCCCCAACACTCTTCTGCTTATGGCGGAAGGGCAGATTCTCCTGGGCCGACCGTTCGTCTGTCCCTGCTCTTACACACGGGACAGCCCGGCAGAGACTGGCAGGTGCAGCAGCACCCGGCGCCCCTCCCTGCGGGTGAACAGCCCTGCTCTGGGGCGGGAACGCAGCTGCTCTCCAGTGCTGTCTCAGATCCCAGCTTCTCCCTGGGAGCTCCTCTGGGCGTTCCCCGCCTCAGGGCCACACGCTGCGGCCCCGCTGCTGGGAGGTGGGGTTTCGGTGCTTCCCAGCCCCCAGTGACACTGAGCGGCCACTGCGGCTGACCACAGGCCAGGGAGGGCGGTGGGGCTGGCCGAGGCCCTGCAGTGCCCAGGCTGATGCCCAGCAGCGTCACTGGGGAAGGCTGACTACGGGCGGGCCGGATGCCACCTCTTCATCGAGACTGTCCTCCTCACAGGCTCGAGGGGTGCTCCAACCAGCACTCACGCCGTGCCCGGCTCCTCCAGAGCCACTCCCTGGGCCTGGGGAGGTGATGCTCATGACCCACTTCCCTGCGATTTCCCTAATTCCACCCCTTGTGCTGCACGCAACTGTAGAGCACCCTGTGTTACCACACGCCAGTGTTGCTAGGCTTGCAGGTGGGAGCTAGGGCCCACCACAGGTCTTGGGTCACAAAGGAGAGAACGGAGAGGTCATGCGACGCGTCCCCTTCAGACAGCACCTGCTCCAGCAATGTGCTACCAAACAGACCCCGCGCACACAGGTCCTCCCAGGGCCCGCTGCCCCGGCCAGACTGCAGCTCAGGGTGGCTGAGTTTATGTTTTCTTTCTGATGCAAGATCAGCCCTTCATCTCGTGCAAAGGCTACACAGGAAGCTGCCCGACAGAGTGTTTTGGTCTCAGTGCTTTGGGTTTTTACACCGGGAAGGGAAG